TGGCGAGCAGTGAGTTGAAGATAATGAGTATGGACACTCTGTAGTGACTGAAGGAAGCAGCATAACTGGTGAAAGGATGGGCAATAGAGATAACTCCAGTAACTGTAGATGACAGCCGCACAACACCAGGGACTAAGTCTCTATTTCCAACAGTAGCTGGAGATGACACAGAGTATAAGAACTCCCCTTGCTCTTCCAGAAGATCCCAGTTTAGTTCCCAGCACCCATGTCAACCAGCTCAAGATAGCCTAGAATTCCAGCTCCAGGGGATCCCTCTTCTGGCCTTTGTGGTTGTCTGCACTCACATATACATACAGCCACACAGACACACATAAAAAATGAAAAATAAATCTTTTAAATATCATTCAAATCAATGGAACACTGTGTTGATGGGACATAATGACATTCTCCAATTTCAAAGAGAAGGAAAATGACAAGCTTTTAATTGCCAAATACCACTTGCTTTCAGTCACCTGAAGAAGCATTTTAGAAAAGCAGAATCAAAACTACACCTAATATTTTTTAATAAGGACAAAGAGAAAGTGTGTTGTGACCTTAATTTATCAATGTGGGTTAGAAATCAATGAAAGGAAGCCAAGTATGATTGTGTATTCCTTTTTCTCCAGCAAAAGGAGGCAGATGCAGAGGGAGAAGAATTTCTGCAAGTTTGAGGATAGCCACTACATAAAGAGACTCTGATGAGAGAGAGAGAGACGGGGAGAGAGAGAGAGAGAGAGAGAGAGAGAGAGAGAGAGAGAGAGAGAGAGGAGAAAAGAAAGAAATCATTAAAAGGGCATACAAAACATTGTGATATGTATGGCAGTCAGCTTTTTGTTACTGTGCCAAATACCTAATAAATTAAGTTAAAGAGGAAAATATTTTTAATTCTTTATTTAAATAAGAAACAATCTTATTTTACATATCAATACCAGTTCACTCTCCTTCCCATCCTCCCATGCCCCACACCAAGCCCTTGTCTTGTTCCTGATTTTAGAGGAATCACTTTGAGTTTCTCTTGATTAAGTATGATGTTGGCTGTTGCATATTGCCTTTATCATGTTTAGGTGTGTACCCATTATCCCTGATATCTCCAAGACCTTTATCATGAAGGAGTGTTGGATTATGTCAAAGGCTTTTTTCAGCATCTAGTGAGATGATCATGTGGTTTTTCTTTTTCAGTTTGTTTATATG